TGAGAGTGGTCACATTTCTCCAGCCCCATCCCTCAGCTTTTTACCGAAACAGTGGCGGGAGGTCGCTTTCATATAGTTTCAACTGCTGATTGTCGCTTTAACAGATGGCATATGGGAATTTACCGAACATGAAGATAACTCGCCGATAGAGCTAGCGAGAGCCAGAGGAGAGTAGAGATAGACGAGAGAAGAGGAGAGGAGAGAGAGAGAGAGGAGAGAGAGAGAGAGAGAGCAGAAGGAGAGAGAAGAGAGAGCAGAGAGCAGCACGAGAAGAGAGAGAGAGTAGACGCGAGAGAGAAGCTCTCTATCTCTCTCTCTCTCTCTCTCTCTCTCTCTCTTTCGCTCTCTCTCTCTCTCTCTCTCTCTCTCTCTCTCTCTTCTCGTGTTTTATACCTCCATCCTCTCCTTTTTCTTCATCTGCACAACTCAAAACCACAGTCATGAATGAATGTGCTGAGCTGATTATGGAGAAGCAATATAGAGACATTTTTCTCTCATTCTGTTGTTTCTTCTGTTGCTTTTTTCTCTCCATGTACATGAATATGGACAGAGTTTCTGTTCCGTATTTTTACAGAAAATTTGAAAGATGGGGTGAGCGATAGAGAATGTTTGCACTTGGCAGATGTAATCCTAGTGCGAGGCAGAGCCACAGTAGGTAGATAGAGAGATTGTCTTTCTATTATCAGTAGACCATTAGTGATGAGGACAATTTACAAAAAAACATCTGTTTGGGAGTACTCTACTTTCCTACTGATCAAACTTCACCCTTTCAACATTTCAATTACCCCTTTTTTCTCCTCATACACACTCATTTATTAAATAATATATATGTCTATCTCAAGGATGCAAGCAGCTCTACTGTTTGAACGACAAATGTCCCTAATGGATACCAAAGTCTTTCACATTACAAGTAAGGTGAATTGCAGGAATGCTGTACCTGTAGGTTCCAAAAAGACAACTCGACATGACTGTCTGACGTTATTCACAACTCGTACACAATTTCTAGAACCTATTCATGTCGCCATGTACCCAAGGCTGTGTAATCGGTGCAATGTCAAGCACTTGTCTCTATATTAAAGCATTAGACCTATCACTAAAATCTTCAGTCATACAAAAAGTATACTTAAATCCGAACTGGTTCTCTAGCAAACTAATAAGATTGTCTCACCCAATGTTCAAGAAGGGACTTTTTCACTTTATTCAGATTACAACCCCTCACTTTCAGGTATTTGAAAAGGAAATCATCTCCCAAATATCACTATTTCTAAAACAAGCCATAGAAAGTTGGTTGCAATTTCAATTTAATCCTCCAGAAATGACAGAACAAATATTGCAACAAATATTGTGGTTAAACTCAAATATACTAATTGATTAAAAAAAAAAAAAAAAATTAGAAAATGTTTAAAAAGGTATAATCTTCGTAAATGATATTATCGGTAGGAATGGTGGAGTTATGTCGCACATGCAGCTAACAAAAACATATGGAAATGTCTGCTCTACCCAAAATTACAACCAAATAATAGCAGCATTACCTCAAAAATGGAAGAGGAAAGTGGAAGGAGGAAAGAGTAAGGAACTTGTCTGTCGGCCCTGCATTAAAGAACATAATTGGTTAAAGAAAATTGTGATAAATAAAAAAGTTTACCAGTTTAATTTAAGGACCAAAAGATTGACAGCCGTCCCATATAGATTGCAAAATAGTTGGGAAGAGATTTTTGACGTACCGATTCCATGGCATAGTGTTTATGAACTGATACGCAAAACGACGCCGGATTCAAAACTTAGAATTTCTCAATTTAAATTATTATATACAATTCTTGCTACCAATATAATGTTATTTGTATGGGGGATACAATCTTCCCAGCTCTGCAGATTTGGCTGTGAAGAGACAGAATCATTAGATCATTTGTTTTGGTACTGTCCATTTGTAGCTTGTTTCTGGACACAGGTCCAGGAATGGCTGAAGGATTGCAATATTTGCATGGAGCTGACCCTGCAGATAGCACTACTGGGTGATCTGAAAAGTCATAGTCAATCGATCAATAATATAATAATACTTTTAGCAAAGATGTTTATTTTCAATTCACAAACTGTAGAAACAATGAGAATAGAAAGGTTCAGAACTTTTGTAAAACATCACAGTACAGTTGAAAAACATGGCAAATAGAAATCCAATATGGATGGTGTTAAGAGATAGATGGGAGGTGTTGAATGGAGCTGAAGGATGGGACTAATAACAACAACTAATAACAACAAGATAACTAGTGTAAGACATGCTGTGTCCATAATAAGTATATAGGTTATATATTGTGAGCTTTTGCGAAAGAGCACAGTTAGAAAGATATGGCATATAGAAGCATACCAGATGGACATCATGAAAATGATCGGAGGAAGTTCAGGAGTAAAAACAAACAAAATATAATTGAAATGTATATACAGTGGGGGAAAAAAGTATTTAGTCAGCCACCAATTGTGCAAGTTCTCCCACTTAAAAAGATGAGAGAGGCCTGTAATTTTCATCATAGGTACACGTCAACTATGACAGACAAAATGAGAAAAAAAATTCCAGAAAATCACATTGTAGGATTTTTTATGAATTTATTTGCAAATTATGGTGGAAAATAAGTATTTGGTCAATAACAAAAGTTTCTCAATACTTTGTTATATACCCTTTGTTGGCAATGACACAGGTCAAACGTTTTCTGTAAGTCTTCACAAGGTTTTCACACACTGTTGCTGGTATTTTGGCCCATTCCTCCATGCAGATCTCCTCTAGAGCAGTGATGTTTTGGGGCTGTCGCTGGGCAACACGGACTTTCAACTCCCTCCAAAGATTTTCTATGGGGTTGAGATCTGGAGACTGGCTAGGCCACTCCAGGACCTTGAAATGCTTCTTACGAAGCCACTCCTTCGTTGCCCGGGCTGTGTGTTTGGGATCATTGTCATGCTGAAAGACCCAGCCACGTTTCATCTTCAATGCCCTTGCTGATGGTTTTCACTCAATATCTCACGATACATGGCCCCATTCATTCTTTCCTTTACACGGATCAGTCGTCTTGGTCCCTTTGCAGAAAAACAGCCCCAAAGCATGATGTTTCCACCCCCATGCTTCACAGTAGGTATGGTGTTCTTTGGATGCAACTCAGCATTCTTTGTCCTCCAAACACGACGAGTTGAGTTTTTACCAAAAAGTTCTATTTTGGTTTCATCTGACCATATGACATTCTCCCAATCCTCTTCTGGATCATCCAAATGCACTCTAGCAAACTTCAGACGGGCCTGGACATGTACTGGCTTAAGCAGGGGGACACATCTGGCACTGCAGGATTTGAGTCACTGGCGGCGTAGTGTGTTACTGATGGTAGGCTTTGTTACTTTGGTCCCAGCTCTCTGCAGGTCATTCACTAGGTCCCCCCGTGTGGTTCTGGGATTTTTGCTCACCGTTCTTGTGATCATTTTGACCCCACGGGGTGAGATCTTGCGTGGAGCCCCAGATTGAGGGAGATTATCAGTGGTCTTGTATGTCTTCCATTTCCTAATAATTGCTCCCACAGTTGATTTCTTCAAACCAAGCTGCTTACCTATTGCAGATTCAGTCTTCCCAGCCTGGTGCAGGTCTACAATTTTGTTTCTGGTGTCCTTTGACAGCTATTTGGTCTTGGCCATAGTGGAGTTTGGAGTGTGACTGTTTGAGGTTGTGGACAGGTGTATTTTATACTGATAACAAGTTCAAACAGGTGCCATTAATACAGGTAACGAGTGGAGGACAGAGGAGCCTCTTAAAGAAGAAGTTACAGGTCTGTGAGAGCCAGAAATCTTGCTTGTTTGTAGGTGACCAAATACTTATTTTCCACCATAATTTGCAAATCAATTCATTACAAATCCTACAATGATTTTCTGGAGAAAAAAAATCTCATTTTGTCTGTCATAGTTGACGTGTACCTATGATGAAAATTACAGGCCTCTCTCATCTTTTTAAGTGGGAGAACTTGCACAATTGGTGGCTGACTAAATACTATTTTTCCCCACTGTATAGACACGTGTGTGCCTTTCCAAATTATGTCCAATCAATTGAATTTACCACAGGTGGACTCCAAATCAAGTTGTAGAAACAGCTCAAGGATGATTAATGGAACCAGCATGAACCTGAGCTCAATTTCGAGTCTCATAGCAAAGGCTCTGAATACTTATGTAAATAAGGAATTCTATTATTTGTATTTATATAAATTTTTAAGTGGGAGAACTTGCACAATGGGTGGCTGACTAAATACTTTTTTTCCCCACTGTAGTATGTATAAGCATGAAGTAGAGGCCTAAGCATTGCTGTTCACTAGTTTACTCCAATTAGGGAAGGGATGGTGGGGTTGGAAAGCAATAAAGGGAAATATATATATTTTTAAATTATATGTATTTATATATGTATATATATATATGTGTGTGTATGTGCATATATGTATATATATATATATATATATATATATATATATATATATATATGCGAGAAAAAAAGAAGAAAAAAACATATGGGGGATTGGAAGTGATGCAGACAATTACATTGATGGAAGTTACAATCTATCTATCTGCAATATAAAAAAAATAAAGCACTTGTCTCTCATAGGAACTAAAGTTTATCCCATTACACAACCTCTCCAGGGAGGACTCACTGAAAGGCATGATAAAGACCTCCAACCAAGATAACACCCTGAGCCTTCCCTCAGACAGGGGATGGGCCCTGCTGACAGCCTCATCTCATCACCATGGTGACCCCATCCTTAACCGTTTGCTGACTACGCCATCACAAAGCCCCTCCCCCATCACCATGCAGTATACAGTATCTAGCCTAATGCACACTGACTCAATGCTTCTTAATCCTTCATTGGAACAACTGCGTGTGGCTCTAAATACTGAACTCTAAAATATAATCTACCATCTAGAGAATTAACGGCACCACAAAACATCACGCTAGGGAAGAGCGTCTAGTTTGTCACGCGAATACTGACCTGGACTGGCATCACGCTGTGTGGAATCTGAGTGGAAGCACTCCCTGGGAGGAACTAAAGAAGAGGAGGTGCCACTCAGCCATATATGGACATGATAAAGATGGGCGAGGTCTGGAATGACCATATATGGACATTTACACAATGGGACTTCCCATAGCACCAATTTTGACCAACTAAATCATTTAAGGGCATAATTAATTAGGAGGAAAAGTATAGCTTCACCAAGGGTGTTACTTATGAACTGATTGAGCCTATTGGCATATCACATCTAAATATTTATGTAGGTTTACTAATTATGGATTATGAAGACGGTTGAGAGGAATATCTGAAACGGTTGAAATATTCCCTTTATCAGGTTGTCAAATGTCATACTCAGACAGACATACTCTATGCAACCAAAATAAGAGTTGAACCTGACAATTTCTACAATGCAAAATTATATAATCTCCCACTCTCATACAGGGCACACGGCATTACTGCTCCTTGGTCATATTTCACAAGGTGACTAAAACCTCATAATTATTTACATTTTAGTCATTTAGCAGACGCTCTTATCCAGAGAGACTTACAGTAGTGAGTGCATTCATTTTCATACTGGTCCCCCACAGGAATCGAACCCACAACCCTGGCGTTGCAAGCGCCACGCTCTACCAACTGAGCTACAGCATTAGTGCTTGAGCTACAGCATTGGCTCAAGCACCCCTTTTTCAAGAAAGTGCCATTAAATGCAAACGTCCCCACTCCAGTGAAACCTTTCCCCCGCTCCCTAAACGAGAAGGTAATCTTTCTGTGATTACGACCAAAACCCCCGTTGCCTAGCAACACACAATTAAGGAATATGCTTTCAGAGAGGCTTTGCAGGCCGTCCATTAACAGATGAAATTACCAAAGCAACAAATGCCAGCCGCATGCACATGAATGTGTTGTGCTGAGTGTTTAACTTGAGCAAACCCTTGTGTGCAAAAACGACAGTAGGGTGAGCTAGTGTCATGGCTGCAGATTTTTACAGCAGAGAAAGATAGCTAAAGAGAAATGGTCCTTTTGACATAAACAGAAGTACCATATTTTTTTTCTGAGACTAGACAGCTTTCATAAATCCATTTGTTCTCAATCTGTAGTGGAGCTGTCAGAGCCCATGGCTGCAGCTCTAGCACTGGGGGAATCCATAGATGCCAGCCTAGTCCAGAGAGAACTGAGTGAATCTGTGGATTAGCATTGTTGTAAAAGGAGGATGTAAAGGATTAAACCCTCTCGCTTCTCATTACAGTCACTCAGAGAAAAGACACAATTGCTGATCGGCGATCTACACATTCATTTTGATTTCAGCAGCACAGCTAGGACGAACCGGTAGAAATAAAGCAAGCACTGCTCACAGCAGCTATCTCTTCATATGCATTTTTAATTGAACAACTTTGATGATGAATCAGACTTGTTGAAATCATAGCTTGTGCTGGTGATTTATCACATCTTCCACATTTCTGTTTCACCAACATTATTAGTGAGATACATTTAACAATGTAGTTCATTTGAACATTTTCCACATAATTCCTTTTCATTCCCTACAATGGTCACTGCTGCACCTGAACAGATCAAAGTACAGTGTATGCAACACAACACCCAACCTACTGCTCCAGGCTCCTCCAACGTATCTCATTACCATGATGCAACAAGACCGTCATGTTTACTACAGTAGGGGCCGGGGGGAAAGGTGGTGCATGGCGATTATGGGTCTCCTCTACATTGCAGAGAGATTTTTGCTGAAATAAAACTATAAGCAGGATGATGCTGCAAGCTGCAACCACTATTACACAACCCACCTGGCCACCAACCCACCTGGCCACCAACCCACCAACCCACCAGGCCTGTAGATTATGGCAGATTTAACAAGTATGCCCTTGCTCTGTGTGGACAAGCTCCAAATGCCTTCGGATGAGATGAAGGGCAGGGAATACAGCTCCTAAGCAAAAACTCACTCACTCATACAGACAGACAGACAGACACACACAACGCACGCACACAGGCACATATGCATGCATAAACTCATGGCTCCAATTCTCCCACTGTCTCCCACGTTTAACAGTGACCATGAAATACTGCCCACTCAAATTGTTTGGACAAAGACAGCTACTGACATGTAAATGTTTCTGCTTTAAAAGCAGCATTACCTCAGATAGATGACGACAGCTCACACCCTACCACATCACCCAGTCCTTGCCCCACTCCCACACTCCACCTTGGTAATCACAACCATTGCCTGTGACAAATACTAGCATGAAACAATACAGAGGACAGCAAGAGTCGTAAAGTGTGCAAAGATGGCTGACAGTTGACACGTGAGAGTCTAAAACACTTCACTTAGAAAGAGGAAGGTACTCTCAGAGCTTTTCAACAGAGACTTTGACATGTTAGGATCACAACAGCTGACTATAGATAACTAGGGCATGGGGAGGGTTAAAGGCTGTCATTGTTAAAAGTTATCATTTTAAGCCATTAAGCCAGTCATACCCCAAATAAACACAGAACATGGATATAACTAAAGCCATTCACATAAGATATGGTAGCCTTTATATGAAACATCAAGTTGAGATGTTTATCCATTGGCAATAAAATACACATCCACAGGTTAGCAACAAGCTGAGCTGCACACAGCAAAAAGGTAGATTAAAATGATGTGAAAGCAGCAAAGAGATCAATTCATCTCAATCCACCGAAAAAGTATCTAAAACACTTGAACGTTGAGTGGGAACCAGATAAATGGCCATTTTCAGCACTTGGTTTAAGAGCACTGAAATACAGTATCCTGTATTCGATTCATGCCAAATAGGTGTCACATAGAGAGCAGTTTCATAGCCTTACATATTCAACCATTATTTGAGGAAGGGGTTAACCACATGTCAAGGTTATCCTGACAAGGAAGGGTATAAAAGAAGAATTAATCTTATTGCAAAACCACAATACCTAATCGTTGTCTTAGCTTTAGTACGGAGTGAATGGTTATATAACCAAAGCCCTCATTTCAAATAGAGAAAACGCAATAACTGCAACAAGAATGCAATGAAGAATGGCCTCCTTTAGTAACCAACAAATACACTACAGCCAAGAGACTAGGGGAGCGAAGGAAGAGGAGGGAATGGAGAAGGGATTAAAGTGTGCTTTACTTGTATCTGGTGATGCCATGGTGGAGACGATGACAGGTGGGCCGGTACGGCGGCTAAGTTTCTGGTTGGCGGCCATAGCACTCTGCATGGTGGTACCCACGGGCATCATGGCTCCATCGGACGGGGTACCCCCAGCCTTGCGCATCATCTGAGGGCTGAGGTGGGGGCTGTGCATGGGCGACATGGGTTGCAGGCTGCGGTCCCGCTTCATCAGCTCCATGGGCACTGTGTAGTTGGTGGAGTACGCCTTCGGGGCCTGCTGAGGAGGCGGCAGGGCAGGCATGGACACTGGCATCTGCTGTTGTTGCATGGCTTGCATTGCAGCCCCTGGCATCTGCTGGTGCTGGGGCATGGCAGCCATCATCTGCATGCCCGGATGCATGGGGACACCCGGGTGTTGGGAGTATGCAGACATGGGCCGGGACTGGACAGGGACCATGGCGCCACTGTAGGGCCCCGGGGTACGAGGTCCTGGGTAGCCCTGGGTTGTTTCTAGGAGGTGCTGAGAGGGAGCGCTGTTGGGCCTCCTGGCCATGGCCTCGGCCATCGCGGGGGAGATGGTCTGCATGGCACCAGGGGTCCGTGGATCCATGCCCATGGCCATGGTCTGCTGCTGCTGTTGGTGGTACATGTCAGAGCGGTGGCTGAAGCTGTTGGAGCGACCCCGCGTGGGGGCCTGTTGCTGGGGCGTATGCGGAGGCTCTAAGGGCCTCTTGACACTGATGGCTACCCGCGACAGCACCCGTGCCTGCCCTAGGTTGGGAGCCACAGAGCGCACGTCATTCTCCTCCATGACTGCCAGCATGCCGGTTGTGTCAAAGCCCTGCTGGATGAGTGAAGAGATGGTACTCTCCGAGAGACCCTCGTTGCGAAGCAGAGCCAGGAACTCTGGGATCTGCGTTCCTCTTGGGGTCCACTGGGGCTGCAGGCGTCTGGGGGGCTGTGGGAGGTGGAAGGGCTACTGGTGCTGGTGGGGGAGGAAGAGGTGCAGGAGCAGGGGCGGCGAGAGGAGGGTTGGGGTTGTAGACCTGCATGTTGGGCTGTGGAGGTTGTTGTTGTACTCCGTAGGGCGAGGTGCAATCCTGCCTCATCATCATACCTCGCTGCTGCATGCTCCCGTCCAGCCCCTGAGTGTTAGGATCCACCACTAGGCAGGTGGCTGCAGGCTGCTGCTGCCGATGGTCCAGGGGACGGCCATTGATGTCGGTGTAGACCGGCTGGCCGGCTAGAGGGGGTGGCTCAGATGCGTACCGAGGTGAAGATGGTTGTTCCATCCCATAGCGAGCAGGAGAGCGCTGGCCATCTGGCATCATCTTGGCAGCGGTGGCTACAGCTGCAGGCTGACTGTAAACCTGGTTCATGCCATGGGCAGTTGGCGGAGGGGGGGGAGGAGGAAGAGGAGACGCCGATGAAGGACACGGAGGTCCGGGCCTCCCTCCCTGTCCCTGGTCCCATGGCGGCCGTCCCACTGGGCTCATCCCGTAGTGGGACGGGGATCTGTTGAGCGGGTGAGGCTGCGGCTGCTGCGGCTGCTGTTCCACCCGGTAGAAGCCACGAGGATCCTCCGGTGGTCGGGGAGCCATAGCAGGGTCATGGGGATAATATTCCTGGGAGGCGATGGATCCTTGGTGACTATAAGCCATGGTTGGACGGTCGTAGTGGTTTAGCTCAGGGACTGAGCCCTTTCTCATTTCCCGGGGATCAGCAGCGTAGCCCTGCTGGCTGTACAGAGAGTCCTGGTAGGAGTAGGGGTCTCGTTTCAGATCCAGGTCAGGAGGACGCACCCCAGGGGGTGGCTCGTAGTAACCTCCTCCGTCTCCCCTGTAAGACAGCGAGTTCCGTCGGCCCGCAATCCTGCCTTGGTGGTCGTAAACGCTTTCTCCCCCGGCCCACTGACCCTCATTCCCCCCCAGGGTGTCCCAACTGTGGGAGCGACCGATATTCAACTGCTTGCTGGTGACGAGCATTGGAGAGAAAAAAACAGAAGACAGCTTTACAGAGGAAAAAAAAACCAAGCGGGAGTAGTTGGTGTTTTCTTTCAAGTGTTCAGTTACCCTTTACATCAAAAGAGTGGAAATGAAGGAGGGAGGACGGAGGAGGAGGAGGAGGAGAAAGAGATGAAGCAGTGGGGTGTATCGTTTCACCTGATATCCAGCTGTAATGTTTTTGGCTCTCCTGAGGTCCTTGCTATCAGGTGGCTCCCCCTTGACAGGCAATCCTTGAATAATTAATCTCTGGAAATATTGTTGCTGGTGGTGAGACGGTAAAGAGGACACCACACTGTGCAAATATTGCAAAGGCAGCCCCAACTACTCCACTGAACCACAATGATAGGGTCCGTGCTGGCCACCAACTGTGTAGGCTACCCGACGCCGTGAGAAGACAAAAACTAGAAAGGAGAGAATATTGGAGGGGGTGGGATGGGATGGGGTCGTAGGCAGGGGCTTGTAATAATCCAGTAGGGTTTATCCTTCCCCTACTCTGGAACACTTTACTTGCTCCGGCGATTGCTATGAGGGATTACCGTCTATATAAAGCCCGATTAATTCCACTTAATTCCAAATCGTGACGTCACGTGAACCAGATAAAACATATCTCTGATTATTCTGCCCATTTATGAGGGGGCACACCTCCATCCACATCCGTTGCCCGGGACACTTACCTTGGACTGATCACTTGATTGGGTCGTCAATGAGTTGCAGGGCCGGCTGGGTCTCGTTCATTGAGCAGGAGGAGATTTACACTACACTGCTAGTAGCCCTCAAGGAGGGGGAAGGCAGGCAGGCGGGTAATTGAAATGAATACAGATCTCACTGCTGTCTCATGTGCTGTCAGGAAACATCAAATCCACTCTGATTGGACACTAATCTGTTGCCGGCACCGAAGCTGTCAGAGTGACCACGCAACTGCTGTGAAACTCGCCCGAAAATGTCACTTACGCCTCTGTAGCCTCCTGTCACACTGTCTCCCCTCACTGAGAGGACCTTATAATTGTCACGAGAAGACCTGGACTCTGAGAAACAGAAACCATGGGGGGGACATGGGAAACAGACTGGTAAAAACATTCACACTTTGAAAAGATTATTAGAACAACATATTGCCTGCCACTCAGAAAAATGAAAATAAATGATTTATTGCCCTTGAGAAATAATAAGCATGAAAGAAACTGACAAAAGCAAGGCATTCTGCCTTGAGCAGGAAATGCACCCACGGATTGTCCTCAAAGCACAATTTACATGTACAATTGTTTATCTAAAGCCATTTGTTCCAACCACATTCTATCTACCTGCTGTTACCACAGCACTCCACCCAAAGCCTTGCTGATCCACTTTACAGAGCGAAGCTCTGTAACTGGATTTTGCCCCTTGTCAGAGAGACCTGGGGAGAGGTAAAAGAGGGGAGAAAGCACTTTTTGTCATTACACATACAATCCCTAAGCAATCCCTCAAACCCTCTGTGAGTCCGTCATATCCTCCCAGTCCCTTGTGATACCTTGTCCTTAGGCCTACCTACCTGCATGGCCAGCTGACACTTGATCCCTGTTGGAGAGCTTCCATGTTAACTGTTGAGACGGAAAGGACGCCTTCATATACATTAACACTGTCCTGGGATCAGGGTTGGGGCCTCATGTTTTCTGTTGCTATGACAGCTAGGGGACCCTCTCAAATAACCCACCACGTTGACAAATTATACTAGAGTTTACCCTACATTTGCTTTTTATACAATCGTGAAGACCCAGATTGGACACTGGACTGCAGTGGTTGATCATGGTATCGTTCGTTAATCAGTGTTGCGTAATTAGGAAGATAAGAGATTGCACTGGACAGGAAGTCAGAGGAAAAGCTGAAGCGCCTACTGCTGTTGCATTATTGGTTGAGAGCAAAAAGGGGCTTATCGTTGACAGTGGACTTCAGTCCAACTCAGTTTGTGTTTTTGTATTTTTTTATACTAGTTCCAGGAAACTATAGTTGACAGAAGGAAATAAGGCAAGTGAGATGGAGAGAGAGGGAAATGGATGGATGAGAGAGCGAGAGACGGAAGGCAGCTTGGGGGCACTGATATTAAAATGAGAGCGAGAGTTTCTCAATTTGGAATCATGCTTGAAAGATTAACACGGTGAAAAGTAAACTAATTAAGTCTTTAGGGACTATGGGGAAACCAAAAGGCCTGCACATATGTAGAAGCACGCAGTTATCTATAATAAAGAAACCCTATGTAGCATATGCCTTGTGGGAATAGGGTTAAGTTAACTTTGGAAAACACTAACATTAATATCGGTCACTGGAAACCATTGCATTGTCCTGCCACCAACAAACACTGTGTGTACGTAGACTGTGTGTACAACAACCCGTGTTTCAACACCATCAGGGAAAACCTAAAAAGTCCCCTCTTACTGATTTCCTTCTGTGATCTGGTTCCCAAGAGAGAGTGTGTTAGCCTAGACCACACATCTGTATCAAACAGATCTAGATAGAGAATGTGTTCTGGGTTTGTAGATCTAATCATACAGAAATAACGAGGCAAAGACACTGTCGACAAAACAAGGATGAAGTATCCCTATTCCCTATACACCTGAGTATATAGATGACATTAAAGGGATAGTTCACCCAAATTACTAAATCACATATTGATTTTCTTACCCTGTAAGCAGTCTATGGACAGGGCATGACCACAATACATGCTTTCGCTTTGTTTTCCATTGCACTTTTTCAAATACTAACTTTTTAGCATTTGTGGCACAAATTAATTAGATTTGTGCCCCAAATGCTAAAAAGTTAGCATTTGAAACCGTGGCCAGTTAATGAAAACCAAAGCACGGATTGCTGTCAGACCTTGTCCATAGACTGCTTATAGGGTAAGGTAACCAATAAGTACTTTTGTAATTTGGGTGAACTATCCATTTAAAGCTGAGATCCACAGGGCCACTGGTCGCCCCAGGCGCATTTGTTATTGTTTTGTTTTTGAAACGGGGCAAAGGAGTGGTAAATTTTTTATTGTGCATACTCTGCTATTCTATCGCACTTGCAATGATGTGCAATGATGTCCCTCCCCCCCATCTTTGTTGTTGTAATATCGCAAACAGAAGTGGCAGTTTCACCGCTACAGATTCCAACTTTAAAACGCAGTGTGACATTCAAATGTACAGACTTGTGGAGGCACATCAAATCAAATCTAATTGTATTTGTCACATGCGCCGAATACAACAGGTGTAGACTTTACAGTGAAATGCTTACTTATAAGCCCTTAACCAACAATGCAGTTTTAAGAAAAATAAGTGTTAACTAAAAAATTAAAAATAATAATAATAATAATTAAAGAGCAGCAGTAAAATAACAGTAGCGAGGCTATATACAGGGGGTACCGGTACAGAGTCAATGTGCGGGGGCACAGGTTAGTCTCTATTATGCAAGAGATGATACAAAAGTGAGCCACTTGTACAAACCCAGTATTATCCGCTACAAGTGGAAGGTAAAACAAAAGAAATTAATACCAAGCAGAAATATCTCAGTCACGACATACAGTACGTGGAGGTAGCGCAATATTTCTTGGTACACCTGGGTATTGTAACTGCTACTCTCATTGTTCCGCCACATGAACAGTACAGGGGTTCCTATTCAACAGGCTGTCATTGGTGGCTGCATGTTTGACATCTGTGAAAGACACCATTAATCAGAGTATCTAATCTCTCCGAGGCCACCCACACGGATGCCTATGTTTAATAAGCCCCCTACATCTCACTGTCACTCATACCCCAGCACCCTGCCTCGATATTAATAATGCATCTTAGTCAGACAGAGAGGGGGGAGGGTATACCACGTGTGTGTGTGTGTGTGTGTGTGAGTGTG